TTGGGGAAACGTCACTGAACTTGCTTTTTGGAAACACGTTTTTTTTTTCTATGTTTTGTGGATGGTACTAAAGAATCTCTTGCTATAGTCGGGTTACTAAGATCAACACACAATAATCAGACTAATCAGGTTGTTTCCGAAGTAGGTTGCAGGGTATCTGGGATTGGTCATGAAATCTCGGAACGTGGCTTAAGCAATGAGAGATCAGTGAGACTCGACCTTCATGGCGACCAGGAATGAATGGGTCAAGACCCTGGCACCCTTGGGGTTCACCCCAAAATAGCGATTTCTAGATGTGTATCACCCACTATACGACGATTAATATTTTATAGGCATTGACCTATCTCCCCAAACGGAAACAATTGGTACATATTTAGCTATAGACCTAATAGTTGGTGAGAATCATGGTTGTAATGTAAATCAGGGAACGCGGTTTTTTGTGCTTAGCCATGGGCCCACTGGCGTTCCAAGGGATGAATCTAAAGTTCCCAAGAGGGCGGGCACAATGATGGTTCGAATGTTTGGCAACGCACATACCCTCTGGTAATTTAACATAGCTATTGAAAATCACCATTTTCAATGGGAAAATCCACTATAAATGGCAATTTTCAATAGCTATGTTAGTTTACCTACCAGAGGGTATCCATTCCATGTCAGAGGGGGTATCATCTCTAGAACTCCGGAGGTCCTAGAACCAATGCCGGTCAGGGACGGGTTTTTTTGGACGTATCCCAAAATCCTGAAGCCAGAACTATGCAGGCTCGGCAGGCAGAAGATGCCCCTATCCTGCGGATCCAGTGGGACGACGTGAACTTGACCTCCCACTGGCGGCAGATTCTTTGCGCCAAGCACCATTTTTCCAAGCCAACTTCTGTCCCTACTGTCATGTTTTTTTTTCAATAACACAACTATCTCAAACCACGGGGTTGAATGCAGGTTCCCTGAAGGGCTGCAGCCATCAAACTGAAACATACCATTTTTTTGACAACATAAAAAATCCAATGAGGAGTGGGTGTAACCCATGAGTGGACTAATCCCACTTGCCCTGCTTTCCACTGGAGCCATAATTTCAAACATAAGCCACTTACGATTCCTGGGGTGAACAACCAAGTACCTGTCATAGCCCAACGATGCCTCAGTTGTCACGAAAAGAGGCCCGACGTTGCCACGAAAAGAGAAGAAGTCAACCAGGCTGGTGATGCAGGGGCCAGGCCCCAGGAGCTGATATCGTTTTCTTATTTTAGGCGTTGTACAAAGGTATGAGAGAAAGAAGCCAACGGGGGCCACAGATTATAGATTTAGTGTGATTTATTAATCATTGGGAATTTATGAATGTAAACCATCCAGTTACTCCAGTTGTTGTTTTCTTTTTGGGGAACAGAACGAAAAAAACTTGACCCATACTTGAAACCGCGGCTGTGGCTCAAACTCAGGGGACAGCCACCCTGGCTGTCCCTAAGGAGGTTCCGAGGCTGTGAATTCAAAGGGCCGGGTGAAGGTGACCCTGAAAATCATCAAGTCTTTGTGAAAAAACGAATCTTCAAACCCTTTTTTTGGGCAGGGTTTATGAATTTACTCGAGGCAATAGTTTGCAGTACTGTACTGCAACTGGGGATATATATATAGGGGTATCTAGGATGGGCCACGTGTTCAATGACAAACTAGCTAATATATGTGGTTCCAGGGTCTTGAATCACCCATGGATGTCATTTTTTGTAAAGGATCTATGCAGCTTGGCCCATTGGTTGTATACCATGGACCCTCCAGTAAACGAACATAGCTATGGAAATCTATGGAAAATGGAGAATTCACTTCGAAGATTTACCCATGAAACATTGTGTTTTTCCTTAGATACAAGGATAAAACTCATATTTTTTCAGCTCTCGGTCGCATTGTGGCAGAAGGCACTTGAAACACCAAGCTTTGATCACTTTCCGATCTGCTGGGATCGAAATCGGTACCAAAATGGGTCGTTTCAGTAGCGATTTTGGTGGTCCTTAGAGGCCATGGTTGTTGGAAAGAATGGCTGCCAGGGTGCTATCAGATCCCAAAAGGCCTGGAAGGGCCAGATTTGGGCCATCCAAAATCCACAGGTTCAAAGCCTAAGCCTGGCAGGATGTGGTGCTGAGATTGTGGTCATGTGGTCCTGATTTAAGGAACTGATTTAAGGACCAGACTTTGGTTATATCCAAGAATATCACATATCATCCGGGAACTAACTCTGACATTATTCAGAGAAATTCTTTTGGTTCACTCCAGGGAGCGCAAGTGCGTTAGTATTGCGTTAGTTAACTCCAGTCAATTCAGCAGGGTAACAACTGGACCTTCCAGTTACATGAAGGGAAGTACCCCACTTATGGGCTGAAACACCAAGTATTTTTTGACAGTTATATGTTGGTCTATAACCCCATTTAACATAATTTAACATCAATTAACATATTTAACTATGTTCATAATCACCATAGACCCAACAGTTCAACAATTCAATGAGTGAAGAAAACTAAAGAATCGCAATTTAGTTCGTTGCGGCGCCACCTAACTATGGTTTTTAATCACCAAGAACCCAACCCTTAAACTAGTGAACAAAAATAAACAAAACAACTTAGCCACCACCTGTTTCAGTATTTGGATGGTTCCCTTTCTTGGAGTGTGCAGTTCCGGTTATAAGTGGATATATATATATCCCAACTTATGGGAGCTATTTCACCATAGGTAATACCATTTTTTTCACCCCAACTGCAGCCCCAACTTGTTTGGATCCCTCCTGGCAGGTCATGAAAAAACTGCTTCCACTGTTGGCCTGTGCCGTGCTATGCGTGGCTCAGGAGGGGGCGCAGTCGGCCAGGTGTCTCCTTGGCTTCGACCTATGGTTTTAGGGTATCTGCATGTTTTTAATGATCTGTGAAATTAGGTATCCATTTTTTTGTTTTGAAATGATCTGTGAAATACAATGCACATATATATATATATATAAATACATACCCTCTGGTAATTTAACACAACTATGGAAAATCACCATGTTTCATGGGAAAATCCACTATAAATGGCAATTTTCAATAGCTATGTTAAATTACCAGAGGGTAATATACATATATATATATATATACACACACACCTTTTTGGGGAAATGGATGTAGGGGTACCAATTCTTGGAGACACCCAGGATTTCGAGATTTATGTGTCAGCGTACAGTGTTGAGAATGGATGGGTTGCTGGGGGTTGCTGGGATGATGACATTACGAATGTGATGAAATGGATCATTCCCGAAAATTCCCTGCTGGGCTAAGCACCAGTAAGATTTTTCTGGACATGAATTCAAGGTGTCAATATGCTCCAATCAAGAATCTAATCAAACACACTGAATTTTTTTGGTTTGAAAGATATCTAAGCTTTGACATTTAAAGTGGAACAAGGGCTCCAGCCTGCAGCCATCCAGAAGTTTTCCCTGAGGAGAACGGCACCTGTTTGATCTCGGACGACGGTGCTGGTTGTGTCGAGGTAGGTTTTGGGAGGTTTCGGCACCCCAACTGGAAGTCTCCGGGAGAATTTTTGGGCTTTCACCAAACCTTGTGCGATTGCAACACGGGAGTTCTCCTGGAAACCTTGGGTAGTTGAGTTCTGTTTATCTAATGTGTTTTGCCATTTGTGTTAATACTTGTGTGGGAATATTGACCATGCAGGGTATCTTATTGGCCCTGGTGAAGGGTGGAGTTGTTTTTTAGAGGTGAATATCGGTTGGGCTACCAAACATGGGTCAGCAAACAGCACGCGGGTAGTGTTAAATGTGTTGTAAATCTTGGTTGTCAATGATTTTAGGCAGATGTAAAGCCTACAACAACTTGGAATTTAATCGACTAAAATTATGATATACCAATTCTAATCACGGGTCGGCACTCCAAGAAGTGTTTATTCCATCCCCTCCTTGCCTGGTTGTATCAGCTTATCAAGATTGCATTGTTCAATATCAAATATTGGGTTAAAACAATAATAAACCACCCAGTTGGGAATTGTTTATACCTATTTATGGTGATGACTAGGGGATGGTTTACTAGTTATTGTTTTAACCACATTTTCATATCAACTTCTTTGCAGGTTGTGTCTATGTTTGAGTTATGGCAACAGAGTGTCTGGCAAGCCCGGAGTTACAGACATCCCTACCACCCTGAATCTGGGCGGATTATATCGACATATATCGACCTCACTGCCGCTCCCCTTAAGTTAGACCATGATTTCAGAATAGCGAAATATGTTCATGTACTGTATTCCACTGGTATCCAAACGTGATTCTATTGACAGGGGATTTGGAGATCAATGTTCCGCCAGGACCCAACCTGTGGGGCGGTTTGGATCAAAGATCGACCGTCGCCATGAATCTGCATGGAGTTCTTGAACCAGGTTTTACTAAGGAAAGTTGGTATTTAACATGAAGAATCACAATCCAAAATCTTCGAAGCTGAAGCACAGAAGCCAAGCATAGCCAAGCAACCCCTAAGTTGGACAAGTTGGCTTTCTACGAGGCAAACATGATCGCAAATGGCTTTGTCTGAAAATGTTGTGTGCCTAATGGTTCATGGTTAATGGTCAGTTTCCCTATTAACATGAACCTAGAACCATTGGGTTTAGGGAAACTATTATAGCCATGTATTCCTGAAAATAGGGTATTTCCCTATTATAATGGTCAGTTTCCCTATAAAAAATGGCTATAATTGGGGGTAGCCTATTTTCAGTTTCTATACATATCTATACCATGCTTGAGAAACCTTTCTTTTGCCTCCAATGGGATGATTATCCTCAGCTCCTCAGCTGGGATGATGGTAGATGGCAGACCAAGGTTTGGTTTTAAAGATAAACCATAGATATTTTGTACATTCCTTGGATGAACTATATATATATATATCCCATATACTTTTTTTTTTCCCATGGATATATATAGATATTATCTAAGGGAGATTAACAGATAAACAAAACATAGAAAGGATAAACATAGAAATGATTAAAACATGCTCACCGTTCTCACACTGGTGCAGTCACGCCACAGACTAGTGACCACCCCCTCGCCTCGCGAGGCAAATCAAAGCGCCCATTGCAAAGTACAAGGCTTTGATCCTGAAAAATTGGGATGCAAAACATGCCGAGTTCTAGAGAAGAGGCGAAAGGGCAACGTGGCCTTGTGGGTTAAACGGTTAAACCAACCGGTCAAGGGTGGAAGAATGGGTTGTGTATGGTTGTGTTGTGTCCTTTGCTATAGTAGATGTGTGATACAGCATTTGGCAGTGCTTGGAAGAATCATTTAAACATGGGTGATAGTCCAATGCTATGCTTGAGTACTGGAAGTAGGTTGGAGAATCTGTTTGTCATGTTTGAATTCCCCATCAAGATAAAGGGAATCGCGAACAGTTTGCTTTGCCTGTAAATTGCGTACCCCCAAATTGGCAATTCATCATTTTCCCTTTGAACATTGCCAATTTGGAGGACCCATCCTCCATTTTCAGACTCCATCTGATTGGCCATATCTCCCATTCCCGCCATTATATCTCAAAAAAAAAAAACATCATTCTTACCTGGTATCTCGAACACTCAAGCCGACTCATGCCATTCGGCCCGGGGTGCCGTTGTGTCCCGCTGAGCCAGGCTAAAAGAAGCTGCTGTGGATGCCAAGGCATTGACCTCCCAGTGTTTGGCGTGCTGCACTGAGGACGGAAACCACGGGAAGCAAACTGGGGATTGGGTAAAACATGGGATGAACAACAGTCATGATATTTGGTGTATCTACTAGTATTATATAATATATATATAATATATATAATATATATATATATATGTGTGGGCTTATATTTCGTCATAGAATTATGACTATGCTATATACATATAATATGTCCATTTCTTTGTTGATTCTAATCTTTATCCTCATATAATCGTTATCCTCACATGTACAGTATACTGTACGTATATTATTATAATTATATACTATGTTTTATACGATTTTTGTGCATTATATATACGTATATATCATAATGTAATTGTATAGGTTTTACGTTTGAATGCCCTTATCGTATCGTAGTGTATTGTGTTAATTGTCATATGTTATCACTATAGTATTTTATATTCAATTTTAGTGTACTGTATTATCATTATTATGTCCTATTATACTCTATAAAATATCGTTTTTTCAAACATAGATGATACTACCCAGCGGTTGTGAAAGCCTGGCTCAACTCAAGCCATGTCTCGGAGTCTCGGAGGAGCCAATTTTGGAGCTCTTTCCAAAGGCGAGACTTTTCTCCATTTTTCATGGGATTGATCTTGGGAAACCAACCAGCAACTGCAAAGAATAGGGACGTTTTTTTCTCATCTCACATGTGGACAATGGCCAAAATCTCTGGGGATACTAATTAGTGAGGATAAAGTGGGGATGTAAATTATGATGTAAATGGGATCGGTTTGTTTGAACATGAGAATTTGCTCTCAATTCTGGCTACTTTAAGAGACAAAAAGATGATTGACTAGTTTCGGACACACCTAGATGGGGTTCGGAAGGTGATGTTTGCCTTTTGGAACTTAACATTTTGGCATTGAGTTTATGTTTGGTGATGGTCAAGATCAATGAACCTCAGAAAAAAAAAAACGTTTTAGGTTTCTAGAGAACTTGTCCTTGTCAAGATGTGGTTGGATTCATGTCAGGGAATGATCAGGCGAAATCACATCCATTTGTGAAACTGGTGCTTAGTTCGCAGGGAATTTTCGGGAATGATCCACTGGCTAACATTCGTAATGTCATCATCCCAGCAACAAAAAAAAACATCCAGCAACCCTACGTAAGTTTAGCACCAGTCAGTTTGTCCTTCATGGCCGCAGCCGTGAAACTGGGCACAATGGCCATGTGGCCATGGCTTCTGTGCATCACAACTGTGGCTGCGGGCTCCGAGTTTCCGGAAGTGACCACAACTGTGGGACGACTCCGAGGCATCTCAGAGACTTGCAAAAAAAGGGTGGAGGATGATCCCATGGTGGCGATTTATAGATCTACCCTCTGGTAAACTGTCCCAAAAAACGATGGAAAATGGAAAATCACCATTTAAGTAACATAACTATGGAAAGATCCGCCATTTTTAATGGGTAAATCCACTATTTTTACTGGGCCATTTTCAATAGCTTTTTGTATGTTTACCAGAGGGTAAGCCTACAGTTCATAAGTCCCCATTCAGTAGGTGTATCCCATTTATATCCATTGGGTGAACCAGCTGCAGTTAAGTGGGATGATCCTTCACGTATTGACCATCCAATTTCTTGGGGTGGTACATGGCCGACGAACACTCCCAATTTATGGTATTCTATAAGCACGGACACACGTGGTATAATCCTAAAAGGTTGGGTGCACCCCAAGTTCGAATTTTGAGAAAGTGAGGAAGAACATGGGAATTCAGGGCTGCCTCATTTTTGAACAAAGCTGCTTGTTTTTGAAATTGTCCAAGAAACCGGCCGGGAAGATACATATTAGACATATATAATTACATATATATATATGTATATATGTATATATGATCCCACTGGACCCTTTAAGGGATCCATGCAGTGACCAATCATTTGCGATGTTTGATGTCCCCTAGTTCTTGTGATCCATTTGAATTCTTGTCATTTCAGGTGCTGGATATCAGAGATTTGTACCCATCCCACTTGTATATTCGCTGTTTTCTTACTGCTGTTACTGCCCAAGATTGAGAAAAAAGGCTCATGCTGGATTTATCATGATTTATCTCCAGTGGTTACAACAAAATACAACAAATGTCGTTTCAATAAATTTCAATACACATATGATATGTCATAATGTCGTTTCTTAACTCCCATTTTTTGTCAGTCAAAGCCCCTCATTTGATATCATTTGAATGTTTTGTCGCCGACGTACATCTCTTTTTGTTGCTGGGAATAGTGACTATTTTGTTGATGACTAGGGGGGATATCTTTACTGTAAACACCCTGTATTTTAAAGTCAAATCCATTAATCTGGGTAAAATGGTGATGAAATGTTGGGTAAAATGGTGATTTCATGGGAAACTGGAAATGACATGGGTAAAATGGTGATTTCATGGGATCTGGGTAAATTATAACGACCGAACCCTGTTCTCCCGAACCCTGGAATCATGGTTTATTTCAGGGGAATCATCCCCAAATAGCCTTATTTATCCAAAAAAAACAGGTTAGTGAATTATAATTTGCCCAGATATATCATGAATTATCATGATATTTCACCATTTTGGATAGCAGTTCTTTTTTTTTGGCTGGGGAAATCATAAAGACCTCCAGGGGGGATTGCTATCGTGGGGATTTTTCAGCGTATCGATCTTCGCTGAGGGATTGGTGGGCTTAGCCCATCAATAGGAATTTCAGGATCCTAAAATGGAGGTACTGTACCATATCAGGCCGGTGAGAACATTCCATTTTTTCGGATTGACTTTTTTTTTTCGGAGGTTTTTTATTTTTTTTGGATTGTTTCTGAATTTGCTGGATTTCGTTTGTCATGTTTTGGCATGTTTTGGAACATTCTGGATTTTTTGGAATGTTTTGGAATTTTCTGGATGTGTTTGGAATGTTTTGCCATTTTTCGGAATGTTTTGTTTTTTTTTTTAGAATGTTATACTAATGTTTTGGAATGTTCAGACAAACCCAAATGGTTGAGACAGCAGTGGAAGATTTCAAATGTTTTGGGATTTGTTTGAATGTTTGAGAATGATTCAGAATTATTCTGATTTTTGGGGGAAGTTTTGGCATGATTTCTAATGTTTCGGAATTCAGGCATGTTTGGCGCACGGCTTTCTGAGTAGCCCTGCTTATGAGTAGCCCACAGGTCTCAAATGAATCTGTTTATTTTTTCCAGTACTAGTTGTTGAAAGGTTTTGATGGCCAACCATGATTTTGATATATGATGTTCTGTTGGGTAAAACATTTTTTTTCCCACCTGCCAGGTGAGGGACTCTAGGTTTTATTGTACCGTGCTCCTCATCCTCCTCTACGAAGACAGTAATGTTGATGTTTCTACTATCATTTCTTTTCCGTTGATTTTCTCATTTACAGTCAATGGATTGGTTAAAGGGAAAATCTACAGGAAACCATGGTTTTTACCATCAAATATAGGGGTTTCCTGTAAATTTTCCCATCATCCAATGATACAGATGATTTTCTGAGCGCTAACTCTCCATTTCGGGGATTTCCGGTCCTAGCCATGCCAGCCATGACTTTGGGACGCCTTCCCGGGACCTAGGAGGGCAATGTCCACGTCTTTCGTGGCATTCCCTACGCGCTGCCACCGCAGGGAGACTTGCGCTGGCGGCCTCCAGTGGCCTCAGAGCCCTGGAAGGGGCTGAGGGAGGCGACAGAATACGGCTCGCGCTGCCTCGCGGTGGACACGTGGCTGAATGAAATGGCAGTGTGTCAAAACCTTGTACCCCTGTAGTTCACATCAAAATAGCTGGTAAATGGATGTTCATCCCACTAAAAATGGTATTTTCATAGGTATTGATCCATACCCAAATGCTGGGAAGAGATTGGAACATGTGGAAGAAACATGGGAAGACCATGGGAAAACGATGAGACCATATAGGAGAATGTTGGAACATATAGGAAAATAAGGGAACTGGCCGATTTAGTTCGATGATTGGGATTTCCATAATATTGAAGGGTACTCATAAAGCAATCTACGAGAACCATCAAACAACAGAAGTCTTGAACATTCTTGAACAATATTTACTTGGGAGATGACTCCGGTTGAAGCCAACTATAATTAGCCATGGGCCAGTATGGGTCAAGAGTCAAAACCGTGTTGATTTTTGCATAGCTTACCATATATGTTTTGGACTGTTTTGGATTGTTTTGGGGTATGTTCATGTCCATAAACAACAGTTATTTTCTGTTGGGTGAAAAGAAGGGGTAAACTGATCCGATCATAGTGGGGGAAAGCAATAGGTATACTATTTCAGGTGTGTGTTTTTTTTGTGAACATATTTTGTTTCAAATATATGGTTCTTTGCCAAGAATCCATGTAACAGTATATGTGTACCGACGTTTATTCCAAAAACTCACTCAACATGCCGGTTTGTATACCAGGATACCATACAGTAGTGCGGATGTTGACAATGAGTCATTCATGATGCACTCTCTGAATTTCCCCAGGGTTCTTTTGGCGCCCAGGATTGGCAGAACCACTCGAAGCGAGAGGGTAGCGAAGATTGTTTGTATTTGAACGTGTACGTGCCATCAGATGCCAACCATACTTCAAAGCTGCCATGTTTCCTTTGGATCCATGGTGGGGGCTATGAATATGGTGCTAGCAATGAATACAATGCCTCAAAGTTGGTGACTGATTGGTGGTTTGAAATATGTGTCATTTTTATTTGCATTATTTTCTCCTTCCTATTTGGGATGATAGTCCCATACAATGTGCCCCCCCCAGTCATAAATTGGTTTATAAACCTATTAACTATAGTTTATAAGTATCATAAACCATATAGTTATTGGAGTTATCAACCAACTTAAGTATCTATACTCATATTTTTGTCAGGTGGGTTACCAACCAGGTGAGTTTTTTAAGTTCCCAGCAGCTGCCAGCCATTGTGGTGACCCTGAACTACCGATTGCATGTGCTTGGCTTCTTGGGCAGCGACATGTTGCGCCAGCGTGACCCGTTGCGAAGCACGGGGAACTACGGCTTGCAGGATCAACGTTTGGGCATCACAGCGGCACAAAGTGGGACCCCCGTTCGATAGCTAAGTTGGTTTATAACTCCAATAACTATGGTTTATGGTACTTATAACATCTTATAACTATAGTTACTGGGGCTTATAAACCAACTTATAACTAGGGGGCCCCACATTGCAGGTTTCGTTGGGGATTTTTTGGTTGGACGTTCGAATTTTCTGGAAACCACAGCAATGGGGGAATCCATACCCTCTGGTAAACTTCTACGTTGTTTGCTGTAATCACATGTTTGAGTGGATCAATCAACTATATTTCTATGGGCCATGTGAAAAATAGCTATGTAACATATTACCAGAGGATACTTTGTTTGACCATTTTTTGGAGCAAATCCAAGGTATGAGGTGGGTGAAGGATAACATCCAAGCCTTTGGTGGAGATCAGGTGGGAATGTGGTGCGAGCCGCAAGCCGTGGTGGGTGAGTGTCCAACCTTTTTCGGGACACACATGTTGTAAGTGGTGGGGTGAAGTATAAGCGAAAATTTCTGTGAAATGGTGCTGGGTCGGGAGATGTTGGTTTGTGTCGGGAGAAAGTAATTTGACATGCTCGTGAAATTCTTGCTTCATCTCGTCTTCAAAGGGTTGATATTGAACACGAACTGGCACTGGGATTGTTTCAGATCCCTAAAAGAGTCTAATCGATTACCTGACCCAAAGATTGCACCAAAACGACATGGGCTGCAATTGGGTTTGATTCGGTTGGATTAAAAAGCAGATACCCCTAAATCGGCTAAGAACATCATGTTCCCTACCGTTCAATGACCATAATCGGAGGCAAATCCTCCAGAAAAATCCAAATATCATGTTCCCCTATGAAATCTCTACTAAATCACCATAAGATCATCACCAAAAACCCCTAACATCTCCATGAAATCACCATAAATCGCCACTTTTTTGCCGGTCGCCTTTCGTTGGAGGCGCGAATCATGCTGTTTGGCCAGTCCGCGGGTGCAGGCAGCGTCTCGGCGCACGTGGCGATGCCTCGCTCCTCCGACCTTTTCTCGGCGGCGCTGATGCAGTCTGGAGGCTTTGCCGGGTGGTCGGCGCAGCACATGAAGTTGAAACTGGAAGGCACTGGAAGGAGGCAGTTTTTCTATGGTTTTCCTATATGTTTTCTATGTTTTCTATGTTTTTGCATGTTTTTATGGATACCTACCAATGTCATCAAACTTGGAAAATCCCCTAACTCAATGGAGAATTCTGGCTGTGAAAATCATCTATGAAGGGGCCGCGTTTGATTACCGGAGGGTACAGTAATTAATACTTGGCTTGGACTTCCATTTTTTTGAGTTCGAGAATTTCCAAATACAAACTTTCTCAGTTCGATTGGAATGATGAACCCCCAGTTGCTTCGAATATGTTTTTCCATCGGTTTTGCATGGCTAAAACCATTGAGTTTCAGACTTGGATGGGAGATTCACAGGAACGCCCAGTATATGGTGGGCGTTTCCGGCCCATTGAGGAAGGAATTTTGGTTCCAGCGCTTTATGAAGCAGAGTGGCTGCCATGATGTGCAATGCCTCGTGGATCTTCCGGCAGAAGAACTTCTGACTGCATACCTGTCATTACCCGGCAGGCGTCATCCGGGTGATTTTTCTCAGTCTCATTGAAGTGATCTTCCAATTAGGGAACCAGCAAGCTACTGAGCTTCCCACTTCACATGATAGTCTAGCCATATCAAGCCATTGGCGATGCAGCTATTGGTGTATATATAACATACGCATACTTATGGTGATTGGGGTGTTTTCTTCAAGATTGTCACACATGTTGTCAGGACTTAGAGGATCATTTGACTGAGTGATTAATGCCATCCTCCTCAAAAACCAAATACTCTCAGATGATATCCATTTGCACCCCTTATAGTTATACCGTTATACCAACCTTGAATAAGCGTAGAACAGTATAATTGATCAATCTTTATCACTAGATTTTAGTCCTTTAGGAAGCTTTTTCTTGGGGGCAAGTTGCTATATGGAGGTTTCCGATCCATGGGGGTACCCCCAAATCATCCAATTTAATAGGATTTTCCAGTCGAAACCATCCATTTTGGGGTACCTCCATAACTGAGGAAACCCCTAAGATTTTGCTTTTGGAACCTTCTTTCTCAGGGTAGAGTTAACCTGCCATGTCTTTTGGAACCTTTTTGCTCACTTAATTTAGCTTGGTGGCTCATCCCACAACAAGGTAAGTGGGTTAGTTCACCCTAGTTTTTTTTTGCTGGATGAACCCTACAAAAATCCCACTGGAATGACTGGGTTTTTCACCAAAAAACACAGCTAGGATTCCTGGGATGAGTCACCAAGCTGCCCTCTGAAAAAATCAAACATGGCCTGGAAAATGGGCCCATTTATCGATAATGTTACCCTCTGGTAAACTAACATAACTATGGAAAATCACCATGTTTCATGGGAAAACTCACTATAAATGGCCATTTTCCATAGCTATGTTAGTTTACCAGAGGGTACTATTAAAATTAAAACACCAATTTTGGATGATGTTCAAGGTTGATGACCAAACATTAGGTATGTTTGGTGTACTTTCATCCCATGACTGTGGTTGTTACTATGAAAAACTCACTTCGCCATGGCACCGCAGGTGTTGCAGCAGCAAGTTCGGAGATCCCACCCTGGCCTTTGCTCCGGCCATCGATGGGGTGGAGCTAACGGCGCATCCCTTGGACCTGCTGAAGCGTCAGAAGCTGGTGGTTTTTTTGGGGGGGCCATGTGGACATATCACCAGTTATATGATGTTACATGGACTATGTATGGGTTATAGAATCTATAGAATGTTGGTGCCCCCATTTACTACAAGGTGGTGCCCCCAAAGAATAGTTAAGTTGACATATCGCACAATCAATAGGTGAACTGTTGGTTTTTGGAGGAGATCAACCCAATGAAGTGGAGGATCATCCTACTTGGGTTATCCCAATGATCCAAATAGCTATTGAAAATGGCCATAGAAAGTTCGTTGATTTACCCATAAAACATGGTGATTTTCCATAGTTTTTTGTATGTTTACCAGAGGGTAGCAGTTATATCCATTCTGATTAGATTGAATCTTGAATCCATGTTGTTATCGGTTGAACACCTACTCAATCTATATATGGGTTTAAACTTGATTTAAATATGATATGGAAGAGGGATTCAACCAATGAATGAATATGGGTGTGTCTGAAAACGCGGTATTGGATGGTATTGGTACCGCCAAAGTGGCAAGTTGATCCCAACATGATCCCAACATATTCCAGCTGATAAAACTTGAGTTCCACATGTTCTCCCTTTTTTGTGATAAACAGGTTGACAGAATTCTATTTAAAATAATAGCTTGAAATAATAGAGATTGTGATAAACAGGTTGAACCATTTTTTAAGACCCAGTTTATTTGGTTCAAGAGAGAATTTTCGCAGGAAATGGTGAGGCCCCAGAGACATCTGGTTGATGGTTTGATGGATGATTTCAATCCCAACTGACTACTGTAAGTTTTTGTTGAATGATTTACCCTCTGGTTAAGTAATATAACTATGGAAAATCACAATTTTTAATGGGTAAATCAACTATAAATGGCAATTTTCAATAGCTATGTTAGTTTATCAGAGGGTAAATCAATTTCAATTGTGCTTCGTGTTTATTTCAGCCCTTATTTGGATGATGATCCCAACTGACTAAGATTTTTTTGGAATGCAAAACCACCACCTAGGAAGGTGCAGCGCGTTCCTATGGTCATTGGAACCACGCTTGACGACGGGGCCAGATTTACTTTCAAGGACTATCAACTGAGCACTGCAGAGTTCTTGAAGTTGTTTGAGGAGAAATTTCAGGTGCGAAAACATGTATGTTTTTATTTCCCCCAGTGTTTGGCGCAAGAAAATCCAACTGCAGTTCCCAGCCCCCAGACCGACTCGCGCGCAAAAATGTCTCCAGGCATCTCGGGCGCAAGCAGAGCTTTATAGGTCTGAATCCCACGTCACAGTGAGTGGCTATGGTGAGGGTTGGTGGTCTGCTGAACGTGTCGTGAGAGATCAGATGTTCTACTGTCCCAGCCATCTGGCGCGTCGCTTGCTGGCGCGTCCCCAAGGGACCCAAGGGGTTTGCGAAGACCCCCCGGTCTTCGGCTACGTGTTGGAACACTCCAGCTCTGGCCCCATTGTGACACACAACACTGACTTGCCGTTTGTTTTCATGGACTTGCCTGAGCATGCATCTCTGGAGGACTGGGGAGTGACGAACGGAAATGTGGCTTCATCATGATTCATCATGAATCCACAGATTGCTTTTGTTTCAACAATATTGATGAAGGAATACCACGTTCCGCTGAAGATTTGCTGATTTTTGTTGGGTGTTCTAGTTGCTCATTAGCGGTTTGATGTTTTTGTTGGAAGCTATCGCTACAGGCACACATCTATTCATGATGTTTCAAAATCCGTAAGGGATGCAACTTAAAGGGAGAACATCCAAAAAATCACAGTACCAAAGAAAATGTTTTCTGCTGATCTTCTCTTAAATCAGCCCATGTTATACATGAAACCCCACATCCAGATCATATCATATATATATAATTATATATATACATATATATATATACATATATATATATACATATAATATATACACATACATATCCATGACATTGGTAGGATATTCTATTCCCATGTTTTTTATGGTTCAGAAACCATTTTTCTGAGGGTTGGTACTGGGATATGCATCACCAATTACATGGGCTACAGATGCCTGGCGCTTCCAAGTAGGTCATCCTTCCAAAAAATACCCCCCAGTCATCGTCATTTTTCCATCAAAAATCACCATGAAATCCCTAATTGAATCCCATGAAATCACCATTAAATCCCATGAAATTATCATGAAACCATCATGAAATCCCATGAAATCATCATGAAACCATCATGAAATCCCATGAAATTATCATGAAATCATCATGAAACCATGATGAAATCCCATGAAATTATCATGAAATCATCATGAAATCACCCTTTCTCAAGCATCTTCATGCCCTGAGGAGCATGACTTGGCCTCCGACATGGCCAGGGCTTGGTATCGCTTCGCTGCTTTTGGGCAGCCAGGCGCTTTGGAATCAGGTGCCAACTGGGCACCGCAAACGGAAAGCACGGCGCCAGTGATGAAATTCCAGGCCCCTTGGGTCCCCTTCAGTCTCCTTGGGTCCCCTTGGGCCCGGAAGAAAATCCAGATTGGCCATGGATTTTTTGATATTTTTTGTTGGGTTTCAGTAAAAATCAGGGATTTAGCTTCCGAAGTGACAGATCATGCAATGATTTGGGCTTTGGAAGATGAGTTTCCACTCAGGGTCAATGCTAACATGATTCAAGCAGGAAAAATGCTCACAAATTTGGATTTAAGAAGCGAACATATGGAAATTATTTTTGATTTGACCACCACATATGGGGATTTGATGGGATTTGTATAATGATTCAACGCGGATTTCGCCAACAAAACAATGAGTTTCGCCATCAAAACAATTGGGATCATCAAGGCAAAATTGAGGGGATTTGACTTGAAGCGACCATCAAGAAAGTGGATTTCACCTGATTGAACCAGCAATACGTAGGATTTTGTCAATTTTCACCAGGGAACCTGGGGATAGAATAGAATATAATATGATTTTTATAGATTTTTATAATTTTAATGATGGTTTTTCTGGTTGACTACTCGAGTTCCTGTAGGAAGTTCCCTTGTTACCTGCTTTGATTTTCCGGACGCTGTGCCAGGTGAGATCGAAGGGTGGCTCTGCAGTGATAGATGGAAACGACCGAGATGCACAGTGTCCTGCTAGATGTTTTTTGTGTCTCCTGGTATGCCTCGAAAATTGGGGGTCACATTTGGTCACTAGAAAAACGGGTCATGAAACCTGAAGAATATCGTGTATTCGAAACAGTTTTGTTTGTTTTTTTCACACTTTCCAACCACAATACACAATGTGCGAGGGATGATGTGTACTGAATTTTCAATATTTGGTCCTTTCGCAGGTTGGGTTTTCGTTTGAAGATATTGCACAATTCCCTGTTATGTTTTTTCCTTACAAGGTGGTGCCCCATACTTAGCTAAGTTAGCTTATAAGTAGGTTAACTGGGGTGTATGGTATGTACATACCCCATATTAATACGTATATATACAATATAATATAATGTAATACAATATAATATAATATAATATAATATTTATATAGTGTATTGGGTTTATAAGCCAACTTATGGCTGGGCGCCACATTCTACAGGGATGGATGATCGACTCACTAAATCCCATGAAAAATCACCATGTTTGGTGCTTAAATCATCATGCATATATAAGGATAAGTATATAAATGTATCTATTATATATATATACATACATAGAATATACATAATCAGTATATATATATATACATACATATAATATACATAATCAGTATATATATAGTATATAGTATATAATAGAAAAAAAAATATACGTATATATATATATATACATAGAAAATTGAAATGGGATAGCCATCGTTTGTGGGGCGACCGACTCGAGGTGTTCCTTCATGCTGGACTGGATCAACCGCACGAGCCAGGACCTCCCCCACCCCAGCGACCTGCGGCCGATCCTGTTCGAGTGAGCCATCGGGGTGGACCACAGATCTTCGTTGGAGACATGAATGATTTACCAGGAAATGGTGAGGCCCCAGAGACATCTGGTTGATGGTTTGATGGATGATTTCAATCCCAACTGACTACTGTAAGTTTTTGTTGAATGATTTACCCTCTGGTAAAGTAATATAACTATGGAAAATCACCATGTTTAATAGGTAAATCCACTATTTCTATGGCCATTTTCAATAGCTATGTTTGTTTAGTGGACCCTAAATATTTTAGTGATTATACCCTAATTAACAGGATGGTACCACTAGATTAGTAACATATTAGTGTTGGGTACCACTAAATTGGGCACCACTATTTATGGGATGATTTTTAGGGGTACCCATTTTGACCCATAGCCATAGTGATGTCGAATGTGATGAGTGGTTGATGATTTCAATATTTCAAGGCTGTTTTCTTTTTGGTGGTTCGATCCAAATGGGATGGGGATCTTAGTGAACTTTGGGCAGGCTTCCAACCATCAACCAGTGAACAAACTGCAGTAAGCCTGCTGTGATTGCAGCTACTGCACGGCCGATGGCAGCCAGGCTGTTTGCGCCTGGTCTTGCCATGGCCTAGACTTTTGCCGCGCTTGCGCGTCGAAAGAAATTTGTGCAGGAAAACAGGAGATGATATACTTGATTGCAATCTTCAAACATACCCTCTGGTAAACTGTCCCATAACTATGGAAAATCACAATTTTTAATGGGTAATTCTACTATAAATCACCATTTTCAATGTATACACACATACTGCTAGTATATAGTAGACTGACACAATGGGGGATACATATCAGCATGGGGGTTTCTCAGCTGGTACCTCACAACGACCTCATCATTGTGAAACTGGCAGCTCTGTTAGAACAACGTCACCACGACGTCACTAGGAATGCTGGTCAGTAACTATCCCAGAATGTATGTTTTAGGAGGTTGGTGCGTTTTGATCACTTACCCCAAATACACATACGTATTTATATCTAGAATTATAAATTATATATAATACACATTAATACATATATATATATATGTATTTTGTATATTATATATATATTATTATATTATATCTAATATATATATATATGAGATTAATTATATTATATACAGTATCACCATTGGCATGTTTTCTACACATATCATATGATGACACCCAGCATCTTGGCTGTCCAGCTCCAGGCTCGGCTCATTGCAGATGCCCAGCAGCAGGAGAGAGACCAGGACCGGCAGCGCTTGATCAATGGCTCGATGGGTTAATGGTGGTCAATGGTGGGAAATGTCAAAGTCAAATAGGTTTCTGGAATATCTTTGAGGTGGATTGTTGTTTATCCTGTTTGAAATATGTATACATACATAAATATATATATATATATGTATACACACATACAGAATGATGTAGTATGATAGGTGTTTTGGGTCTTGAATCAGCTGTAGGATTTCTGTGGATTTGGAATAAACATACAGTATCATACAGTAGTGATATACTGTATAGCAATAATGATGATGTTACGCAATAGTGACTTGATGCGTATATATATATATATATATATCATAAATTGGTACATATTATGCAGATGGGTCAGATAGGTTAATCATTTGCCAGTTGCACGAAGTTTGGAATTTAGCCGAACTATTCCATAGCGATGGGTTTGCCGAAATTGAACAAGAACATTATGAACAAATGGAGTATTTTCTCAGCCTTATTGCAAAATTGATCATGTAAAGATTATGGATGTTGGTAACTTCTAGCGAGATTATAGCTGTGCAAACTTGATAGACGATGATGAAGAGGAACTATCCTCAGAATGGCACAACAAATCACTTTGGGCCGCAGAAACCTCTTCGATTTTATTTCTGCCAGTTCCAACCCGCCAGTTCAAACTGCCCCAAACTACCAGTTGACCTTTGGTTGTGTGTTGTTGTTTCCTGGCTGATGGTCTCGAAACATGTCAAGATGTTGTTACCATTCGGGATGATGAAGGGACCCACAAAAGGATCAGAAGTGAGTACCTCTTAGGCCAGGACAAACCCAGATTCACCCAGCAGGGAGTGGGGCCTAGGTATCTCTGCCACTGGGTAAAACCTGGGTAGCCTCATAGTTCATATGTGAGCCATACTTAACAGTTGCTATCCTGCTACAGATTTTTTTTTACATATGTCGTTCAGGGTATTTTACAGTCAACCAACCACCTTATCACTGAATCAAATTCCAAGGTTGGAGGCTCCCCTCTAACATAGCCGCATCTGGGGGCCGTCCAAGACTATTTGATAATTGGATGGCAGAAAAAACCATTGAAACAGCAGTTTCCACACGTAATTTCTCCCTTCATGTCCAATTGTTTAGGGAAAAAAGAAGGAAACACACATGGGGGTTTCCATAAATGGTGGTACCCCTAAATCATCCATGTTAATCGGATTTTCGATTATAAACTCCCCATTTCAGGAAAGCATCACATGGATTCAACCTGTAAAATGTCTCTTGAAACCACTCTCCTCATAGTGGGACACCTGCTTCCCCACCGAGCGCATCCCCCCAGCGGAGCGCCTGAAGGACCTTCACGACTTCATTAAGAGAAAAGCTCCTGGCATCCGGAACCTGGAGGTCTGCACCTGGACAAGTGGCTTTTGTTTAGCAGGTTTGACGTTTGGATTGATATATAACCATATATATATATATATATCATATATTATTCTATTATATTATCTATAGTTTATGTGGTTTATGTGGCGACTTCACTGCGACTTCACTGGAATGATGGTTAGGATTCGGAGTAACTCTCCCAACATAGCCAAACATTTCAGGTCATTGAAGATTCAAGAACCAGCAAACATACCTGTTAACGTTTGATTGATGGTATACTACTGACTCAGTTCATGAGGGTTATCAAGCAACAAACACAACTGGGGCACCAGACTATGGGCTCGTGTGTTCTTTTTCCTGCTTCTTTATCTGCACAGGGCTTCGTAGATGTTCTGTTATGATTCAATGACCATTTTATATCTTTATCTCAATGATTTTCTTAATCAGATATTTGATATACCAACTTTAACCGTTAGCAACTTTATACTAAGTAGTATTTCACTATTTTAGCGTTTATGATAATGTAGCAACTATAGAAATCATTAGGGTGTGGTAAAATGCCCTGTTCGGGCGATTTTTATTTGAAGCACATCACTTGAAAAAAAATCGGTCGGAGATGAACTATCAACTTTTTTGTTGGGTGATATGAACGATTATGATTAGTGGACATTTACCAAACATTTACCAAACATTTACCAAACATTTACCAAACATTTACCAACCCCTGTTGGGAATGGGGCGGAACAACAGTTGGGACAACACTTGGGAGATCATGGGATGGAATGGGGTTGCAACTGTCCCGAGTTGGACAAAAAAATATGTGTAACATCTAGAGTTTCTAACCTACACATCCACAGGAGCAACTAGAAATTTCCAAGATCTGAGAAGACACACATGTCTATATATATATATGTATATATATTTGGGTAAATTATAACGACCTCACAGTGACCTCACTATAATCATTAGTTAGTAAGGGGAATCATCCCAAAATGGCCTTAATTCAGGTTAGTGAATTATTATAATTTATCCATATATATATATATATATCATGTTCTGTGACTCCCTGCCTAAGCGTTCTTTTACTTCCTTTGGTTTGCCCCTGGGAAAGTAACTTAAAGGAAGTGCAAGATCCACCTACAGCTGCTATTTCGAGACGTGATTTCGAATGGAGGCTATGTTTGAGGCTGGTTTTGTCAAACTAAGCATGGACATGAAGCAGCATGTAAATCTTGTAGTAGGATATGAGTATGGAAAATGATGTTCTTAACCAGTGGATTTTGTCTTCATCATTTTCAGGTACTAACCCATAGCCCATATTATTGTAGTGTATCCAATTATGATCAATTTATGGATAGTGGTATATATTCCCAATGATTCCCAATTATGGATAGTGGTATTTACTGTATATTTATATATACTACTCCAATTTTTTAGTGGTATTATAATTGGGGATAGTAGTGGTATATTCCCAATTTATCCAACCATGACCTCCCAGAATTGCTTTGGAAACTCCCCAAATCCCATGGCTGCCATGGTCAATGGCGAAATCCCATCCATTCCCATCCTATATGTAGCCATATAATGGCATATTAACCATGATTAACAGTATAAAAAATCATCATTGGCCCATAGTGAAAATATGTTGGACCATATTCACCATAGTATAACCATAGTATATTAACCATATGGTCCAATGATGGTTAACCATAGTTAATTAACCATCATTTTGTTGACAAAATGCACCATGGTCCGTCATGGTCAGGTGGACTACCAAGCCGGTTCATCCCCTGCGGTGGAGTTGGAGACGACGGATGGATCTGGACGTGTACTGCGTGCAGATGTGCGAGGCAGGTAGGATGTTGTACAGAGGCCATGCTATTTAATGTATTTAAGACTTACATAAGGACATAAGATTACTTTCATCCATGTTCCATGTTTTTCAATGTTTCGTTTTGTGCATTCTGTTTCATTCTGATGAATTTTAATGCAGATGTTCTTGTAACAAAACGATTGAAACGTAGGCAGAGGTAGTTGTAGGATAGCCCCGATCTCCAATGGGAAAGAGCCGACCACTTTTTGCAAAGCACAAATCACCAGAATTGTATCTGCAACAACACATTGTGAATCAATATACTATGATATAATGATATGCAATGTATAATGTGTATGCATATATCATAAATAGCATACTATATTATATCATACATACTATATTATATCATAAATCAATATACTATGATATGCAATGATAAGCCAACAAGGTGATAATGATATAATATGGTGTATACATAATGATATATACCGCAATCAATATAAGTTGCGTTTGCCAACAAGGTCCCGTGAGTTTGCCAACGTTTCAAAAGTTGTGTTCCTACCCGGCATGTCTGGTTGATGACCCCCCTCGACCAGACTTTCGCATTCATTTTTCAGGGGCTGTTGAAACCACCAACTAGGTGGTTTTGTACTATAAATGGATGGTTTAGTACCAGCACCTAAATGGATGATCTAGTACTATAAGTAAGTGACCAGTAGGGTGGCTCCAATGATACCACCTTTGTCAAACTTATCCCTCAATGAGGGCATGAATGATGATGCAACATGGGTCTTCAACCTGCTGGCAGATTGGAAGTCAGATCACTTGGTTCAGTTCTTGAACTTGCGATTGGAGGTGCGCTCTCTGTTTTTCGGCAAGAGATCCAATTCGCCCGTAAAAAGCAGAAGTTCAACCTGCAACAAGGGCGATTCAAGAGGCTTCAAACAAGAAGAACATGAATATTCAAATTCAATCAATGAATCTGCAAGCACTATGGATGGTACAGGTATGAGTCAATTTGTTTGGGGTCTTTGGGGACCAAAGACCAACGTGTTTGTCACCAAGCTAGGGCCTCAATATGCCTCAATCTACCGAGGCCTGGACCTCAAAATTTCTGAAGTTGGAGGTCCAATTCTTTAGGATGGGTTTCTGACCAATTATTAGATCAAACCAAGGTAGATGGATTTCCCCAAAAAAATGGTGGGCATGTTTTTTTAAAACATCTTCGATGACCCCTGGATCACATGGTAGAAATGATCAGAAGTTGGATGATTTGGGGCTGCCCCTGGCCTTAGCCATGGAGGTTTTGTTGGGAAAATCATCGAAGTATAGCCCGGGACTGTAGATGTTCAATTGTTCGTAGCTAAACCATCATGAATTATCTGCAAGTGTTTTTTTCCACAGCTATGTGTGATAACCAGGGGGTCATTGATAGAGCAAGTATTAAAATCCTCCATTTAGAGAATCATGTTCAACTGCTACGTCGAAGACTTGCTGCTCTCAGTCTGCGGAGAATGACATGGACGGCGGCGTGGGTGTCGCTGGAGCTTGGAGTGCAGAGATACAGAGCCTTGGGCATGAGATGAATCTGGATAGCCTCTGGTTAAAAGTGTGCAACGGAAGCCATGGCCCATTTATAGATGATTTATGATGGTTTGACCTTTCAAACATAGTGATTTTTCATAGCTATAGGCTATGAGTTAAGTGGCTGATTGGGGATGATTATAACCCACAATAGGAATATTTACTAACCAACATGTCATAGAATTGGATTATGGGAAAATTTACAGGAAAGCCCTATATTTGATGGTAAAAACCATGGTTTCCTGGAATTTTTCCCTTAAACCAATCCAGTGAACATGTGATGAGAAGAGAAGAGATGAATGGAGGTCCCATACGGTCCATGTATGGAATATTTACCTACATTCATTCGGTTTTTTTTGGTGCTAAATGTTGGTACATATTCCATGTATTATGGGAGATTATACCTATATAATATAAATATATATATATATAATTCGTTGAGGTTTGGGGGATATCCCAACAGTATATTATGGTGCATATAATATGTAGGGATATAACCAGCAATGGGGGTAACCTGGCTGGTAATTGGAATTCAAACATTAATATTGATATAATATACACATTCACATTGCGTAACCCCTAAAACGATAGAAACACATGTCACCACTATTTTAGTAGGAAGAGGCCGCCAGTGACTTTTCTATCCTTTTTTGGGTTTCTACACTGTATATAAAATTATATGGGGACATGCCAAAAGATGGGATGCAATTCAAAATTAACCAGTCAAATGGTGGTTTCAGCAAATTGTAAAGTCACTGGAATGATGGTTAAGAAGGGTATATGACAGGAATCATGCTCAAATGTGTGTGTGTGTTTGTTTGTTTGTTTGTGTTCAGGTTGGTGAAATTAATTCTCCAGATGTTCATGGCTTTGATTTGATGGTTTTCAGGAGAGGATTTTTGAGGATGGTGGTTATAATGGTGAAAAATGGTGTTGATATTATGTGGATATACCCTCTGATAAATTAACAGTTCGCCATTGAAAATGGCCCAGTCGAAATAGTGGATTTACCCATAAAAAAATGGTGATTTTCCATAGCTATGGGACAGTTTACCAGAGGGTAATTGGATATTTGGGATATGATGGATGTAAGTGTATCTGAGATTCAGGAAGAAACAAGAATCCAGTGATGACAAAATCATGTCCCCCTGGACATGGCCATGGGGTAAATCACATGTTCAGACAAACCTATGAGATGGTGAACAATGATAAAAGACGGATGTTTGAAAACCGGTTCAATGACGGAGGATGAAGAATGGTGACGAGGAGATGACTGTGAGATCGGGCGATTATAGTTTAAGCATGGAACAATAGGATTTGACTATGAACAATTGGGGTTTTCATCGTGGTTTATTTGTGGTTTAATGATGCTGATATCCCTGAAAAAGGAGATCATACTGGAAAATTAGGCAAATCAAGAGGTAAATCACCAAATGTGGCTGGTATTTACCTCACTGGGATGATGGTGAATCATCCTTAAAGATGTCAAACATCAGATATCTTCAGATTATTTTATTATAACATATTATAATCATAGTTATAACATATTATAACCATAGTTATAACCATAGTTATAACCATAGTTATAACCATAGTTATAACCATAGTTATAATCATAGTTACCATAGTTATAGAGGTTATATCCCAACTTTGGGGGTTTCAAATACCATGCTTCTCGTCACCTTGGTGGCCGAAGAAACTTCGAGGAGTTGTTCTGGCTGACGCTTGAACCAACTGCCTGAGGCCGCAGGGTTTTTTAAGGGTGGATGGTTGCGAAATCGAATGAAAATCAATGGTAAAACATCTGTAAATGGACCATGAAAACCATTAGTTAATACTGGTAAATACTGATAAATGGACCATTAACTATGGTAAATACTGGTAAGTCATCCATTTTCAAAAGTTAAATCATCTGATTTTACTGGTAAATCATCTGGTTTTCACCCATGTTTCATAGTTAAATCACTGTTTTGGTAACCATTAGAAGTTCAAACAACTTAGAGATGCCATCGTGGCCAGGCCCGTCGCTTCATCAAGGAGCCCGGGCATGCTGACACCTATGTGGGGTTGAAGGTAGCGGCAGGGTTAGCCGCTACCCCAAAAAAGGAAATGGTGGTTGAACATATGGGAAAATCTGGAGATTTATGGGAAAACATCATGAAAACATCATGTTTTTGTTCAAATCCTTGAAATATGGTTGAGCATTTTTTTTTAATTACTATAGATTGGAAATTTGATTCTTTAGAATCTTTCCATTTCGGCTGGCTCCGCAAATCCAAGTTGTGGGAAACTCTTATCACGTTCCACGGTTCAACGTGGCTTCCCCATCGTGAGGTATGGTTGATTTGTGATCATGAGACTTGAGATTGTGCCTACATTTTTCATGAATCCCCAATTGCGTATGGGTCAGAATTGAAGGCACCACCGCATGTATTGCTGGTCTTTTCTTTTGGCAGTAAAAAGTAAAAACATGTAACCTTTGGTAAACTTACAAAAAGCTATTGAAAATGGCCCAGTCGAAATAGTTGATATCTTCCCATTAAAAATGGTGATTTTCCATATAGTTTTTTGTATGTTTACCAGAGAGTAAATTCTCCGGGAAAACACTCTGAGTCAACCATCTCGGCCCAGCCGCAGCTTCTTGTGCTGTCAAGGTGAACTTCATTCCCCACCACAACCCGGACTTGGTCTTCTTTAACCAGTGACCTGTTGCTGCGGTAAACTTTTTCGTGGGCTCTGAGGCTCCAACAGGGTATGTAGCCCTTATCAAAGTGTATTTGTATGATTAATGATATATATATATATATGCGAATTGATCACCATTTCCCTTGTGAAATGGCCATGTTGGGCGGATGTTGGAGGTATATTCCAGTATTGCTCATGCATCAAACCATTTTTGGTGACGAAAAGCGCATCAATCATCCAGGCATCCAGGCATCCAGGCATGTCAGGGCCAACTCTTTGGACGTTTGGCGGATTGTAAACGGGCCAAGGTTGATGGATGGTCCAAGGCTGGTTCAATGCCTTGAGGCAACTTGAAGCCTTACACTTCTAAAATCCATGTAGATCTCGGCCAGGATTCAATAATGGATGGATTGTAGCCATACTATCGATGTGATTGTTTTGGGTGGATTGGATGAACATTCAAGAAACAACATTTGTCAGAGGGTATTCCTCACTATTGCTGGCAAAAGAATAAACGGAAAGCACAACCATTTATTTAGTTTGAATCACCATAATTGGTGATTGAAACACCAAATAAACATAGAAAACACATTTATGACTATTTAACTATTTTAGTGGAAACATATGTCATTTATATTTTTTTCGGAGGGCTACTATTACTATCATTTATACAACCATGTGTATTTGATTGGACTGGCACCGCTGAGGCATGGAGAGGAGATGGAGCGTTTGGATCTGGGGCGCTACAGCACTCAACAGAGTCACGACGGCGATTTTTTGGCAAGTTCCAAATCTAACGAGTCTGTTATGTGGATGTTTTATGATATATATATATTTATATTTATATAATAGCAACCCCCAAGAGAATAGAAAAGTAACATCCATCTAAATTTGCAATATTTTTTTGGGGTTAGTGTATAGTTACGTATAATTATGTATATATATAAACAATAATGTATAGCATATAAACAATAATATGTTATATATATATAATAAAAATAACAATAATAATGATTATAAAAATAATGATGATGATAATAATGTTAGTAATTACAATAACAATAACAATAATAATGCATAAGAATAACAACAATAATAACAACAATAAGACAAATATTATGATAATAATAATAGTTAAATATGGTAACCCTTATTTGTCAACCAGTCGAAGCAGGAAGGGATGACGCTGCAGGGTTTTGGGCACTGCAGAATTCGAGGTGATCATGGGCCAGCCATAGTTCGATGATTCACCTATGAAAAAACGGTGATGTTTGAATAACTATGTTAAGTTTACTTGTAGGGTACTATACTATAATAGATGGATTATGAATGGTGATGATATGGGTATGGATCAATACCTATTAATACCATTTTTAGGGGAATGAACATCCATTTACCAGCTATTTTGATGTGAACTACAGGGGTACAAGGTTTTGACACGCTGCCATATGATCAAAGGGAAATGGTACTATAAGCTCAAAAGATACGTTTTTTGCTCAAAGGATGATGTCTGAAGCGATGGATCACAGGGACACAGCTTGGGTACAGTTGGCTATGGGCTATGCGTCAAGCATTGGGGTGCCAATGGGCCGACAGAATCTAAGTGTTTGATACGTGATGATGTGTGTATATCATCCAGTTCCGGAGGTGGATCATTTTGAAGAACGTTGAATGTTGACCCATCCACATATCTTGCTGATTGAATGTCCAACAAATCTGCGAAAAAATGCGAAAGTTTTGGGTCCAAAAAAACTTGACCCAGCCCTGGCAGGGGGTTGGGGCCTTTTTTCAGCCCTGGCCGGTCACGCCTCACATCAAGCAGACCGCAGCAGACCCAGGATCCATGACCTGTTGGTCTCCAAGGGCTTCAAACGTTGGAGACTCGGGGGGCGGCCGTGCTGCTAAAGTGCCATGCACAAAAAAACCTCCCGTTAGATCATTTGAAAAAGGACCATCTGCAGATAAACCCAACCAATATTATCAGATGAGTTTTGCAGGAAACCTATAAGAGTCCTATAAGTTAGCCGTGTTAGAAGGGACTCCAACATGAACGGATTCAGTGTTAGACTTCCGTTTCTTGGGGTTGTGATATTTTCTTGTTGGGAAGTCATGGGCTTCGGGATTCCGGTCCCGGGCTCTCAAGAGTTTCCCATCAGCGGAGGAGTTGTCCGGCGGAAAACGAGCCAATCCCAGAGTTGAAAGGAATTTCTGCAGTAAACCCTCAACCGGTTGGTGGTTTGGAACATGAATTTTATGACTTTCCATATATTGGGAATTTCATCATCCCAACTGACTTTCATATTTTTGAGAGGGGTGGCTCAACCACCAACCAGTTTAAGTTTGATATCTGGTAATCCAACATTTCGCCATTGAACATGGCCATGGAAACAATATCTCCCAATCAATCACCATTAAATCACCATGTTTTCCAACATGACAAGCCATGTAGCCGGCGTAGCTTTTTGAACTTATTATATATATATAGAGTAGGTTTTGGTTTCATCATTGAATCAATCACCCATTGATAGATGTTTTTTCCCCGAGCCACAACAACCTCGATTGATAGTGATCCCATTGAAGCATCTAGGTTGATCCCATTGAACCCCAAAAAAATCCGGGCGACTCTTTGCACCAGCTTCGTTGCCATTTTCATAGAACTGGATGATGGGAACATTTACAGGAAACCCCATCAAATTTGATGGTAAAAAGCCATGGGTTTCCGGTTAAAATTTTCCCAACAAAACCAATCCATTGATATTTAGTGGTAAAACCATTCATCACCATAGTTATAAGTATCATAAACCATATATAACAACCATTAACCATGGATATTCCCAATGGATCTCTCCATTTTCCATGCCATTTTTTAACCTCCGAGGTAAAGAAGCCAAGAAGTACCGGGGCGAGATCCGCACCTGCAGCGGCTGACGGTTGGATCAACTCCCCGAGGCTGGACGGCTTTCTGGGTAACGACCGAACCCTGTCCTCCCTCATTGGAAACCCTGGAAATCATGGTTTATTTCAGGGAAATCATCCCCAAAATGGCCCAACTATTCAGGTTAGTGAAATATTATAATATATTATAATTTACTTACCCAGATGACTGGGGATGGTTGAAAATAACCATGAAAAATGGTGATGTTGATTGGGGAATTATTGGGGATAGCCTCTGGTAAACGTTTAACTATGGAAAATCACCATGCTCATGGGGAATTCATCCATATTCATCCACTATAAATCACTATTTCGACTGGGCCATTTTCGCTATTTTGACATAACCAGAGGGTCTTGGGGATGGTGGTAGATCATTGATACTTGAGACACTGCAGGGTTGACCCGGTTGGTTGATCATTTTCCATGTAGAAAATGCAAGTGGAATATGTTTGTGCTTCAAAATGCTTGACACATCTCCCAGTTGAAGTAATGGATATCGATGGCAACTAAGGTTTTGTCCGGTTCAGAACCATCTGTTCAAGCGGTTTTTTTTGACACTGCCCAAGGCTTATCCGAAAGTATACGCACATTGATCCTCAACCAGATGACATGTTTCTAGATTGAAATCCAACTAATATAGATGGGCTACGTTATGAGCTAACTATATAATTAGTTGGTACCTGGGTTAAACAATGTGTTTTTCTAAGCGGGTGTTTGTCTGGGCGTATCATATCTATAGCTGAATTACTAAGCAGTTGAATAATCCATGGCCCAGCTATATAAGTACCATGTCAAAATACAAACCAATCCGATGCAAATCGAGAGAATTGCATTTTCAGGGCCATCGGAATAGGCATGCGGCATGCAAGCCAGGGGATTCCACGGGGACGACCATATCATAGCGTTTCCCTTTAAGCACATGGGGCAAACTAAGAATAAACAATCCCCACATATCAACAATATCACCAGACATTCATTTCAGAAACCACCTACAATTGGAGGCTTTTGGTATTGGGTTTACCAAATTACAGCAGCTAAACTCATCCAAAATTCATCGCTGGAATGATGCTTAGGATCCGGGAAATTCTCTTATGAAATTCTAG